TGTATGTATGTATGTATGTATGGATGTATGGATGGATGGATGGATGGATGGATGGATGGATGGATGGATGGATGGATGGATGCATGCATGCATGCATGCATGGATGCATGCATGCATGCATGCATGCATGCATGCATGCATGCATGCATGGATGCATGTATGTATGCATGCATGCATGTGTAACACACACACACACACATACACCCACACTGTCTTTGCAGATAATTTTGGAAATTCAATCTTCATGTACGGAAGCCTAGATATTCACGGATAAGATTTTATTTCATCAATGCTTTCGTTCACCCATTGTCTCGGTCTTGCTTTCTCTCCCTTTGCAGTTCATGTTAAGTTCCACACTTGCACAACATGAACCCTCTTCGTGAGAGCATCCAAAGAATCCAGTTTAGCTGTCTTAACAACCAATGTATCAGTATTTCATTCGTTGCCTTGTGTTGGTGAAGAGTGTGTGTTCATCATCTTTGGTCAAGCCTGTTGTGATACAAAATTGTAAGGAACCAAAAACAATAAACTAAAAACATGTAGAACAAATTTCTTAAAACTGAAAGACTATGAAGCTTGAGAGAATATCTGAAAATATAACTCCATATATTTGATTCCTGCTTGTGTTTACTTACTTTGCTAGTGCAGCACATACATATAAACTCAAGTGACTGCTCACTACCCCTATACGTAACTGCCAACTATTCCATGCCATTAGTGGGTCCTAACTGACATTGAAGAATCAATTAGTTGATACAACAACCCAGTTAAATCCCACAAAAGTCAATTAGTTGATATATTTAAGAATAAGACTTAGTTAATAAACAGTAATATACTCTAGTAAATTTACTAATCAAATGCCTCTAATAAGACTCTGCTAATCTCTTCTAGGTTCTAGGGTGGTATCAAGTTCTATTGGTTTATTCTTTGCTTGCAAGACATTCCCTACATTTGAGAGAACGATCACTGGTCATTTTATATTCATTTTCTCTATACTTACATCAAAGTGAGATATATTTTAATCATCTTGATTGCTTCTAAATTATAGTTTTGTTATTATTATTATTATCAATCTAATTACTACTACTACTACAAGTCAATAATGATAATAATAAAATTATTTTTATTATCCCTTTCCTTTTTGTAGTACATTGATGGCCCCCAAACTGAGGGAGATGGATGAAGCAATTAAACTTATTGACCAAAGTATTGTACAACCTCAAGGGAATGATAGAGGGCGGACACTATTGGTTTGTGGTTCTTTCTTTTCACTATTTGGTATTTATTGTTTCCAATGTTTTTATTCACAATAAACAACTTAACCCTTGATCATCATCTCCTTATATTAGTGTCCGGTCAAGTTTGGTTTCTAAATTTAAAGATTTAATAGAATTCAATGGATCTAATAAACCATGGTTGTTTACCAAACCAATAACCACAATCAATTATCATAAGCTTTACACAAATAGGCAGTGATGGCATATTGGCATGACCATTATATAATGTGAGCACAAACTTAGGGTAAGAGTAATGAACATACTCCCTTATCACGTATATGTGTAATTGTGTATACATTAATTTGTTAAAATCCTGCTCAATATACATTACATTTTACCAAAATGATATATTAATAAAATACATTTTAAAAGAAATTTATTCTATTTAAAGACAAAGACATTTATTTTTGAGTGCTTTAAAGTAAACGAATTATGATTACATAAAGGTTGTGCCATTGTTGTGAATTTGGGAAAACCTTTTGCCTTTATTGGTAGTCTGAAATCCTAAATTCAACATATATAACACATATGATATTTAGTTTCATTTTACTATATGTTACTCCCTCCGTCCTATATCTTTCTTCTCACTTTCCTTTTCGGGCTATCCCACTTGATTTTCCCATTTCCATATTTGGCAAATATTTTTTGCCAAAAAGACAAATATAACTTTTTTTTTTCTTTTTTCTTGTTTCTACTGACTCCCACCCCACCACAAGACCACAACTTTCTTCATTCTTCTTTCTTATTTGTGAACTGTGGCACCCCCCCTTTCTTTTTCTTCTTCTTCATCAGATCGCACTCTTTTTTTCTTTCGTCATACCTCCATTCTTCTTCTTCTTTTTGATCATTCGTTTCTTTCTGCTTCTTATGACTCCTCTCCTCTGACAAAGGTTTCAGATCCGGACAGTGGCCAAGGAGGCAGCGGAGGCTGTGGTGAAGAGGGGCCGCAAAAACTGTGGCAAAGAGGGTCGGCAGTAGTGAGTAAGAACCTTAGACTTGATTTTAGGTTTCTTCGCCGTCTTCTTCTTTTCATCTTTTCAAAGATTTCTTTTTCAATTTTGTTTAAGAAGAAAGATTTCTAACGGAAGGAGGGGGGTTGAGGTTGAAGTAGGGGTGGGCACGGGCCGGTCCGAGTCCAAATTTATATAAACCGGACTCGGCTTGTTTTTATTAAAACGGTCCGGGCCGGAACGGGTTTTCAAGATTTTAAAATTGGAACCGGACCTAACCCGGCTTGTTTGAAACGGGCCGATTCCACGGGTCAACGGGTCCGAACCTATCATAATACTAAAATTCTTCAAAACAAATAGAAATTATAGAATAATGCCTTCAAAGTTCAAAAAAGAGGAATAAATGAAAAAAACAATGACAAAGAGGGGTATGAGAGTAAAGTGTACATCCCATGATCATCCAACAACAACAACGAAAAGAAGACAACCACATTTTGGCATTATAATGTCAATAGGTGAAGGCTGAGAATCGCTTTCAGAGTTCAGACTCTCTGTTTTCTCACTTCTGCGGTTCTGCACTATGATTGGAATATGGAAGGACCAAAAGAATTACTAAAATTAATTGGAATAGGCGGGTATACCGTATATTTACTAAAAAAATATTAAAAATAATATTAGTATTTAAAAAACGGTCCGGTCCGGGTCCTAAACAATTTCAAAATGGGGAACCGGACCGACCCGGACCGTTTTAAATTTTTGAAAAGACGACCCGGACCTAACTCGGCCCGAACCTGGCGGTTCGGTTCCGACCCGCGGTTCCTGGACCCGAATGCCCACCCCTAGGTTGAAGTGCTTTGCTTTTTTAATTTTGTAGATCTGAAACTTAAAGTTCTTGATTTTTAATTTCTTGATTTTGTCAACTTAGATTTGTAATAGGGTGAGGGGTCTGTCAAAGAGATGAAGAAGAAGAAGAAGAAGAAAAGATGAAGAACAAAGAATGAGAGAAAAAGAAGGGGAAACGTGAGAGGGAGATGTGTGACTGACGTAAAAGAAAGAGAAGAGAAAGGGGTGAGGTGGGGGAGGAGTAAAATGGGATGTCAACTCTTTTTTCACTTAACATTAAAAACCGCACCAAGTCAAAGCAGAAAGTTTCAACTTGGATGGAGGGAGTATTACGTTCCTTCAGCTATCCCTCTTTTCTCTTCATCAGATTATTGATGTCTTAATGTCTAGTTTAAGAGTTTTAGCCTACACTATAGTGGTAGTGACTTAGTGATCGTTTCTTCAAAAATCTTGGCCTCATTTTCAGATTTTCACTAAATTTTTTAAACGGGGTAAAGAAAAAAAGGAAAAAAGTATATTGAAAGTATATTCTCTATTTTTACTCTAGAGTTTCTTTCATTTTGTTTTGTTTGAGTCGGGGTCTCTTGGAAATAGCCTCTATACAAATGAGATTTTGAACCTTTTTTGGCCAAATAGCACCAACACCCCATGGTTTAGAAAATAGGCACTAATACCCCCCCAATTTTCAAAACTTATTCTTAAAGTCCCTGTGGTTTCAAAACGTTTCACCCATAGACCCTCTGATATTTTTGGCCATTTTTCTGGCAAAGAAGGGGGCATTGGTGCCTATTTTCCAAAGGATAAAAATACTAAAGTAAGAGTAAAACATTGAAAATATACTAAAATAGGACTTCCATGTTTTTATTCCCGAAATAGGAGTTGAAATGCATTTACATTACCAAACATGGTCATGTACATTACCAAAAAGTATAGTAATGTGCACATGTATAATACCACATTACCACTACATTACCATAGTGCGAACTCCTATTTCGGGAATAACAATATGGAATTCCTATTTTGATACTTTTTCTATGTTTTAGTCCTATTTAAGGTGATTTCTATTTTCCAAACCATAGGGGGCACTAATGCTCTTTTCTCTTTTCTTATTTTTCGTTTATTTTTTTTCTTCTTTTTTTCCTTAATTGTTTCTTTGTTTAATCAAGTTTTTCTAATTTTTTTTAATTTTTTAAATAATGTTCTTAAAATTTAAAAATTGTTTTGTGTGAAAAGAAATTGACATACAAATATATTGCATCTGTATGTCTCGAATTAACAGATTTTATTTTTTGTTTCCGAAATAAAAAAAAAATTTCTTGACAACTTCAAAATATGAGGAATAACATAAGAAATAAAATAAAACGAAAAAAAATAATGAATATTCTTTTTGGGCATCCCAATTCTAAAGAGTTTTTAAGCTCTATGGAAATTTATTTTTGTATAATATTTTTGCATGTTTCAATTTTCTTTCATTTCGTTTTTCCAATTTTTTTTACATTCTGAATTTCTTTTTGAATTTACGAAAAGAAGTATTCTAGAAAACAGAAGTGAAAATGTTTAATTTGGGATAGATCGAGTATATGCTATTTATTTTTATTTTTATTTCAAACCCAAAGAATTCTAGATTTTTAAACATTACAAAAATTGAAAAGAAATTTAAAAAAACTTTTCTAAGAAAAGGAAACAAATAGATAAAAGAAAGAGTAAAAAGAAAGAAAAAAACCAAATAAGAAACAAAAAAATAAGAAATGAGCACAAGTGCCGCCTATGGTTTAGAAAATAAGCACCAGTGCCCCCTCTTCACCAGAAAAGGGCGTGGGTGCAACGTTTTGAACATAGTTTGTAAGGCGTCGCCTAGGCGATAAGGCGCTGTCCCTTGGACTCCTAGTCTGCTTGCCTCGCCAGAAAACCTTAAGGCGTTGCGTTACTTCGCCTTATGTCGCCGTACTCTCGCTTTGACGCCAGGCCACTTTAAAATTTTAAAAAGCCCAATTTTTTTTAGTGTAGCCCAATTATTTTAGAAGCCTTAGTTAAAATGTTTAAAAAGATTTGACTTAAAGTTGTTACCTACGAGATATTATATATATATATATATATGTATGTATGTATATATATTTTATATAAATATATATATATATATATATATATATATATATATATATATAAACAAGTAGGGAGCCCGAGGCCCGTTAACCTCGTGACTACCCTGGGGCCCGTTAACACCTGAGGCAGATAGCCCACTAAAGTAAGTCCAATCTAAAGCCCAGCCCCATAAGCCCAAATCTACTTCCCAGGAGGTCACCCATCATTTTCGTTACTCCCATGCCAGCACACTTAACTCCTTAAAATTCCCCCAACTTAACTCCTTAGGCGATATGAAGGTACATTGGCGCCTCGCCTCGCCTTGGCACCTTGCCAAACTATGATTTTGAAACCACAGAGACTTTAAAAATAAGTTTCAAAAATAGAGGGGGTATTGGTGCCAATCTTCCAAACCACAGGGGCAGTAGAGCTATTTGGCCAATCTTTGCCTATATCAAGTTCACCTTTTAGTATGAAACCCATCTTCACAAACTTATTATGTTTATTCTTTGTCCTTGCCATTAATCATTTATCTCTAGGGACTTGATGCATATGAATATGTATTTTGCCTCTTTAATATGTGATTCATATTGAAGTGACACATTAAACAACCTCTTTTGTTTCTTACTTTTTATGAATTTTTGGGCAATAAATGCAAGAATTCATCAAGGATCTAACAACCCATTTATTCTATAGTTGTAGGGATAAGGTTAACAACCCATTTATTCTATAGTTGTAGGGATAAGGTTGCGTACATCTTGACACCCCAAACCCTAACAGCGTTGGGAATTTATTGGGTTTTGTTGTTAATATGTGATTTTTGCTCTTTTTCATGTGCTATTCATCTAATAAGTAGCTGGTGGTTAGTGATCACGGAATGACGGAAAGTGGTAATCATGGAGGATCATCTTACGAAGAAATGGACTCTTTGGCACTTTTTATTGGCCCAAGAAACTTTGGTAGTATGAAAATGATCCATAACATAGTTAATCAGGTATCTTGAGTATTTGATCTTTCATGTTTTAGGGAATAATAAATGTAAAAATTTGTTCTATTTGATAAAAAGTATATTTAAATTTTGCTTCTCATATAATGACATAAATATCTCATTGCGCTAAATTTAATGATTCAATTCAATTTCTTTATCATTATAAAATTGACATGGCTGTGGTACTCTTTAAGAAATATTTTTTTATTCTGTTTTCATAATTCAATTTTTTTTCTTGGAATAGAATACTAATAAAAATAATAGTTGTGTCCATTGCCAATAGAGCCAAAAGAGTTATTTACAATGTTTTAGCTTTGTTAATATTGGACTTATTACAATGGCCATAAACTTCTCTTGCTTATTACTTTGTGTGAAGTTTTGGATAAATAATAGTTTGGTTTTTAGGTTGATATTGCTCCATCATTGGCACTTCTTTTTGGTGTTCCCATTCCTAGAAACAATGTTGGGATGCTGATGGGAGAAGCACTGAAATCTTTGACAGGTTTGACCCTATTAAACTTTCTTCTATGACATAAGGGGTATGAAGATAAAACTGATCTAAATAATATAACTTGAATGTTATTTTCATTTAAATGGTAAAGAACAGATTGCTAAAGCAATTTTTCATCTATGACTATAAGATCTGTTCTTTTGAGTTAGATGTTGGATCTTTGAAGGAGTCCGAAGAAACTAGGAAGATATGTAAAAAAACTGGAAGAAGTTGGAAGAACTAGAAAAAGTTGGAAAATGTGGAAAGCGTCACAAAAAGTTGAAGGAGTTGGAAGAAGTCGGAACAAATTGGAAGAAGTTAGAATGAGTTGGAAATAGGTGAAACAAATATTCTAGTGTTTGAATTTCACATTTTTTATTAAAATAACTTATGCTCTCTTTGTTTCACTATTTTTGTTTCGATTTACTTTTTTATATGTCCACTACATTTGTCCCATTTCATAGTTTTCCATTTTTTCCTTTTTAATTTTTACCTTTACTATTCACATGATTAAACAATTCTCCATATCCACTTTCTTTACATATTTTCATTGATATGAGAACCAATGCACGCAAATGATTTTTAGGTCAATAATTTTCAATTCATGCTGAAAAGAATGAGAAGAAGTTGGGTGGAATTGAAAGAAGTTGGAAGGAATTTGAAGGAGTTGGAGAATGGGAAAGGAGTTGGAAGAAATGAGAAGTTGGAAAAAACCCAAGGGAGATAGAAAACAAAATTTCTTATCGAAAAAAACAGAGCTTATAATGAGATTTTGCAGAACATTGCGTATGCCCCAGGACCTTTATGCCTCATGGTGTTAATGGTGAAAAAGAGGCTCAAGTAAGTGTGGCTGAACCCTCTTTACATTATAAAAATTTGAACTGTGATATTGGGTTTTATTTGTGCTTGCTTCTATGTTTGGAATAGGAGATAAGTCCTTTGGTATAGCTCTAGGCTTATCTCTTTGTTGGAAAATTAAGGCCAGGATGGTTTGGACCTTTTGAGGTGATTAAGGCAAAGATCCAAGGGTGTTTTCGATCCCTTGTAGTCTTATACCATAAGCAACCTTCATTTTGAAAAAAAACCATTTTGATTTAGATGTTTCTATCAATGTGATGCCTAAAGATGTTTTTGAAAATATGAAGTTAGGTGAATTAAAACCTAACGGAGTGGTGATTCAATTAGCTAACAAAAGTCACACATATCGAATCAGGGTTCTAGAAGATACGCTTGTCCAAGTTGATAAATTGGTATTTCTTGCTGATTTGTATGTGCTAGATATAGGGACTGAAACTTGTGATGTACAAATTTTGTTAGGGAGACCTTTTATAAATATAACAAAAACCAAGATAGATGTCCATGGTGGAACACTATCTATGGAATTTGATGAGGATTCGATAACTTTTAAAATTTCTGAAGCCATGAAACATCCTTCGAATCTGACAATATCTCTTGTTTTGCGAAAGAAATGTCCACTTTTAAACTTTAGATGAAATTGAAGAACAAGTGTATTGTCTTGGCTGTTCCACCCAAGGACTTCCCTTCAGTTTTGAAACAACCAACTTTGCAATTGAAAGAGTTGCCTAACCCTTTGAAATATATTTATTTAAAAGAAAATAACCAACTTTCACGTGATTATTTCAAGTCTTTTATCTCTAGATCAAGAAGTTTCTTAGTTAAGAGTTTACAAGAGAATATAAACGTAATAGGTTGAAAAATAGGTGACATTAAAGGCTTAACTTCTTCCGAAGTGATTTCTTGAATTAAACATACAACTCTTTCATGAAACAATTTCAACCTATGTCTATGAACTTTGAAAGTTTTATTTGTTTAAAAACTTATAATCTCCATAGCCTTATGGGGATGTGTCTTAATCACCTCAAAAGGTCTTAACCATCCCGATCTTAATTTTCCAACAAAGAGATAAGACTAAAGTTATACCAAAGGACTTTATCTCCTATTTCAAACTCTATTCTAGTCAATTTTGCATCAAGGAAAGCTTTTGCTTTCCCTTTGTAATTCAATAGATTTATCATAAGCATCTAGCATCAAAGTCAAATTAGTAAATTAATTCGACTCTAACTTCTTTTCTGCTGTTCTGGCCCTGCTTGACTTCTACCACAATACTACTGTGTGTTTTAATTCTTGGCATCTCTTTATTTTTTGCTTATTAATCACAACCTTCCCTTCCTATTGGTATTATTTGTGCGAATGGAATGCTCTCTTTCATGATTTTTTTTTTGTTTTTTGCTTATTAATCACGCTATTTCTTTCAGATTGGTATTATATGAATGCATGAATTGCTCTTGATCCATTAACATTCTTATGGGTTATTTTTTTAATTAATCTTCTTAAAAGTTGAATACGGGGTAGTTTATATACATAAAGTTTTAGTATTTTTTTTAAAATTTCTTGCCATAAAGCGTATGACTTTCCACCAATATTTGGTATTAGTCTATGATAAAATTTGTTGCACCCAAGACCTTTTACTTTCAAAATATACGTTTTGAATGTTTATGGATTAATTGTGTTATTAATAATGTTTTACTTTAATTATATTTTATGCACATCTTGGTACTTCAAGATGTGTTATTATATTAATTGTGTTATTAATAATGTCAACTTTAATAATTTATGCCATATGCCATGGGAAAAAACGCCCCAAAGCCGTAATACGTCATTTTGGATGTTGGTTTCTATTATGCACCAAAAGATATCTTTTTGTAAGTTTTATAATTTTACAAGGATTCTCAATTTATTATTACTCCCTCCGTCCATAAGTCAGCTTCTCACTTCTTCATATGTCCCAAAATATCTTCTCATTCATTTTAAGGAATGAAGTATGTGGTTGTTATCGTCTATTTTGATTTTGAATAAATCACAACCAGGTGGTTTCATTTTTTAAATAAATGTCTCAAGATCATACCTCGTCAAAGTCGGGTTCAGGGTGGATTTCTGAGGACTTAGGTCTCTTAGGGGCATGACCATCAGGAAGCGTGATGAGAAGAGGGAGAAAGGGTGTATCCATGTGTAGAATATCCTCTTCGTCGCTGAAGAGCAATTTAGGTAGTTTCGGGGCATAACCCAAGTCCACTTGGTCTATGACCGATGACGTGTTTGGGTTGGTTGGTCAGTTATTGAATTAGTCGGCCCAATTTTTTAAAATAAATGAGCCATTTTATTCTTTTAATAAACATGCAATAGCAATTAGGATGCTAATTAGGGGTTGGGGTTGCATTAGTTTATGGTTTTTTAGCTTCAGCCTTCTATTGTATGTCTTAATATCTGGTGTGGCGCGCACACCAGATAATGTAAGAGCATTTATATCATTTGATAAACTCAAATGTAGTAATTATCAAAAATGGCAAAGTAGAAAAATCATTTTAAAAAATTCCTAGAAGAAAAGTGGAGCCACCCTGAGGTGGATGTGGTAACACGAGGATAGATAGATCCAGTACGAGGTTATTTGAGGAAGGGTGAGAGTATGATAAATTGCGTGGAGCTAAGATGAGGTGGTTTGGGCACATTAGGAGGAGGAATGCAGAGGCCTCAGTGAGATGCAAGGTGCCATGATCGAGTTAGACCTAGGAAGTGCTGGATGGAGGTTATTAAACATGATTTTATGGAGGATATAACCTTAGGCAGGATTGCCTACAGAGCTAGGATTAGAGTAGTTGGTTAGAACCTCCAACTTCCGGCCTTAGTTTGTAGTTTTTTTTTGCTATGTTGCCTAAGTTTGTAGCATTTGCTTGTGTGGTTTCTGTGCGCTTGTGTGGTTTCTGTGCCTTAGGTATAATGTTGTGGTTACTTTATCTTGGCTTTTGTGTTGATCTGGGATCTCTTCAAAACAACCTCTCTATTGGGGTAAGGTCTGCGTACACATACCCCAGACCCTAATGTCTTGTGGAATTATACTGGGCTTGTTTTTGAAAGGGAAGCAACCTTTCAAAAACAGGGAAAGTATGTATCAACACACACACACACACTAAGATTTATGTTATTTTATTGATCTAATAATCTATGGATGTATTTGTAAGCTTATGGTTCATTGTGTAAAACTCTAAAGTGGCATATATTGAAATCTTGATCGTGATGAGAACAATAACCTTGCACTGATGTCTGGTAATAAAAGCAATAATTTCATTGTAGGTGATTTTTTAGTTGATAGTCCATTTAATTAATATTGAATACTCAAAATTCATTTTTTTGTTCGATGCTTGTCGCCTAGCAGCAGTGTAAAATAACCTGCATTTTTCATATTTTCAGGTTTTACAGATGACCAACTGCTGAGATTATTGGAATTAAATTCTTGGCAATTGCTGAGATTGCTTCATGCACAGTTGCCGGATTTAGTTTGTGAAAAGGATTTATGCAATGGCTCCAGTGAAGAGAATTGTATGTCAAGTGGTCCAGAAGAAATGCTTTGTTCCATGTATCTGGAGGCTGCATCTCTCCATGGATCTTGGAAAGCTAGAAGATGCTTCAGGTATATCTCTTTTTGTATCTGTTGAAACATTTACGTAAGTGAAATGTTAAAGCACACTTCATTTTGTGTTAACTCCAATCATTTTATTGCTCCTTTTTGTACTTGGATAGGTCAATTAGTGCAGATGATCTCAGCAGCATCATTGCAGCATATTATAAATTTTTAAGAGCAGCAAGTGAGTGTCTATCTCGAAGAGCAACTTATGTAAGTTTAAAACTGTAAAGGTGTGGAGAATAGCAATTGTTTCTAGATAGCCTGACATCATTGTTTTCCTCATGTTCACTTAGGTGATCATGTCATCATTGTGATTAGCTATAAATAGGCCCGTGTACAAATCAGTTCATATGAAGAGTATATTCTCTCTAAAATCTAAGGGAGTGTTTGGTGAGATAATAAGATATTGATTTTGATAAAGGAGATATAGAGTTTCAAAATTATATGTTTGGTGAAAGGAAAAAGGGGTTTACAAGTGAAATCGGAAGATATACAAACTCCACATAAAGGTTGCATCTTCATATCCTAATAATTTGTCTGGTATCAAACTCCATGCATCCAGCTGATATCAAACAACTGTCACATTTCTCCTTTTCTCCCCTGTCTCTTCTCAACTCCTTCTTTTCCATTTTTTGTGTCATTTTTTCTATATTTATTCTTCTTCTTTTTGTCACCCAAAGAATGTCAATTGTGAATTACTCTTGATGTTTTTTTATCAATCCAAGTATGCTCTTTGAGTTATGTTGTTCCCAAATTATGATTTTTGATCAATCTGAGTATGTTTTGCAATTGTTTTTAAAAACTATTTCTCATTCATGATTCTGCTTCTCCCTTTTTTAAATTAAAACAATTTTTTATTCACACATAATGTATTATGCAAAAGAATTTTTTATTTGTGGTGTTTTGAATTTCATATCAATCTATGTTTGATGAAGTTCCATACATCAGTGTGAGTATGGTTTGTTGTTTTTTTAATTAAGAATTAAAACATTTCAATTTGACATTATAAATAAATTACGTTTCATTTAGCTTATATAATACGTCTATAAAAATTATTACTCCCTCCGTCCAAGTTGAAACTTCTTAGTTTGACTTGGCACGATTTTCAATGTAAGATGAAAAAGTAATGTATTTTCCATATTTGCCCTTTTCAATTACTCATCTCTCCGTAACCCACTCTCCCTTCATCTCTCCGTAACCCAAAGTTCTAGATCTTCTTCTTCAACTTCAGATCAGTCCACGTGCAACTCAGCCGTGCCCAGCGTGCAACATAGACAAATCCAAATTAAAATCCCATTACCCTCAGAAATCAAATCTGGGATTAGGCCAACAAGTTGAAAAGAAAAACTGTAAAGCCTGAGAAATTGAAAGTAAATCTATGATTCGTACTCAGAAATTGAAAATCAAATTCAAGTTTTTCTTGGTTGCCCTTTTATCGCCACCCTTTTGCTGTGCCTTTTTGTCGTTGCTCCTTCGTCGCTGTAAGGGCGGGTCAGACGAAGAACATGAATCAAGTGGAGAAGAAATCAGTGGGGTGGGTGGTTTAATGAAGAAGAAAGAAGAAAAAGAGAGGAAGAAATTGTTTGTTTGAGATTGGAGGAAGAAGAATGAAGAGAAAGAGACGAGAAAAGAGAATCTGGGGCTGGTCTGGAGGAAGAAGAATAAACTGAAGAGATTTGGTGGGGGGGCTGGGGAATTGAAGAGAAGAAGAGAACGGAGAGGAAAAAGAAGAAAATAAAGAAAAGAAGGTGGGGCTGTGGGGGTATGAGAGGGGGATGTGGTGGAGATGAGAGAGAATAATAAGGGGTAAAAGAGTAACTTTATGTGTATTTTGTTTCTATTTTAGAAAATGGGAAGAATCAAATGGGACGGCCCGAAAAGGAAAGTGAGAAGAAAGATATGGGACGGAGGGAGTATCCAATACTTACATTTGATTTTTTAATTGCTCCCCAAATAGCTGTGACTGAAGTTTGATTTTCATTTCTATTTTCTCCATACAGTTTTCTTTCAAATTTCAAAAGTCATATTTTATCGTAACTCCAAACTCACCAAACGGGCCCTAAATTGTTTCATGTGGTATCAGAGCCACAAGTTTTTCCAAACTTTGTGGCTACTTCAATGATCTCTTTAAAGAGGAGCATGTGAATCTGTCAGCTACACACGAGGGACTAGGACCACAACTTCAATGATTATCAAAGAATTCGAGAAACTGAAGTTAAAGAAGCCCTAAAACAAATGAAGAATAGCAGAGTAGTGGGCCCAGACAATATTCTGATAGAAGTTTGGAAAGGTATAGGAGGAAATGGTATTTGGTGGCTAACTAAGCTTTCTAACTAGATTTTAAGATCTAAGAAGATGCCTAACGAATGGAGGAAGAGCATTTTGGTTCCTATTTACATGAATAAGCGAGATATTCAAAGTTGTGGAAACTACAGTGGGATCAAACTTATGAGTCATACGATGAAGTTATGAGAAAGAGTGGTTGAATGGAGGTTGAGACAAGAGACTTCAGTGTTAAAGAACCAATTTGGTTTTATGCCAGGAAGATTGACTACAAAGGCTATTTACTTGGTGAGAAGAATGATGGAGAGGTACCAAAGTGAAAAGAAAGATCTACACATGGCTTTTATTGATTTGGAAAAAGCATATGACAGGGTACCAAGAGAGATTTTGTGGAAGGTGCTAGAGAAAAAAAGAGTAAGGATTGCTTATATTTGTGTGATTAAGGACATGTACGAGGGGGCTACAACGAGCGTGAGAAGTCAAACTAGGATAACAGGGGAATTCCTCTTCGGGGTAGGATTACACCAAGGTTCATCGTTAAGCCCATATCTTATTACATTAGTATTGGACGTTCTTACCGAGCATATCCAAGAATCCGTACCATAGTGCATGCTTTTTGCCGGTGACATCATCCTTATGAGCGAATCATGAGAGGATTTGAATGAGAAGTTGGATTCCTGGAGACAGGCTTTAGAGTTGCATGGCTTGCGTATAAATCACACTAAAATAGAGTATATGGAGTGCAAGTTTGGCAACAGAAGGAGAGACAGTAACATCGAGGTGAAAGTTGGAGAAAATACTATACCACAAGTAAATAGATTTAAATATATTGGGTGTATCATTCAAGAAAATGGAGAAATAGAGGATGATGTTAGGTTGGTCAAAATGGCGGAGTGCTTCGGGCTTTATATGTGACAAAAAAGTACCTTTAAAACTAAAGGGAAAATTTTACCGTACTGCTATTAGACCAGTATTGTATGGGACAGAGTGTTGGGCAGCAAAGGGTGAACATGAACACAAGGTTAGTGTGGCGGAAATGAAGATGCTTCGTTGGATGAGCGGTCATACGCGTATGGATAGAATAAGGAATGAAGATATGAGAGCTAAAGTTGGAGTGACACCTATTTTAGGAAAAATAGTGGAAACTCGTCTTAGGTTGTTTGGACATGTGGAGAGAAGACCAATAGAGCATCCCGTGAGAAGGGTTGATCAAAAGGTGAATATGCAAGTGACTGGAGGAAGAGGTAGACCTAAGAGGACTTGGCAAGCATTGATCAAGGGAGAGTGGGAGACCTTCGTGTGAACAATCTCACAGCAGATATGATACACGATAAGGCGCAATGGCGTCGTTTGATCCATGTAGCCGACCCCACCTAGTGGGATAAGGCTTTGTTGTTGTTGTGGCTGACCTTACTGTTTCAGGCATGACTAGTACTCATATGCACTGTTCAGGCACTCAGACTAGTGGTTCGTCACAACTTAAGTCATCATAACTTAAGAACCCTACTGCCACTATCATGGTCATGTGCCTCCACGTGCATGTCAAAAGTGGGAAAAAATCAAACCATGTTTCTTCGAATCTGTCCTTTCCATCAGGCATTGACATTGTGATCAACATGACATTCAACCTTCAGGCGATCCTTCCCATGTTTTTTGGGCATTAGTTTCAATGCCGATGCCGCCACTGACTACACAGCAGTGTTGGACATCTCTTTTGCAGTAGGTATACTCAGACCAATTTCTCTACAAGCAGTGCGATGGTCATTAGACTGTTGTCCGAGCCCTGCTGTATATCAAGAAAACATTAGGACAAGGATGATACAACTACAAGTAAATGAAGTAATTGTAGTACAAAAACGATTTTCTTTGCCTTCCAATGAACTCATGAGTGATGTTGAGGAAGATGATGTAAAGAGTTCTAGTTGAAGATGATATCAAGTCCTGTGGGTTACAAGCTTTACATGTATTAAGAGCTAATACTTTCATAAAAAACATAGAAACGAGATGTTGACCTCTTACCACAAGGAACCGATATATCGGTGTGACCATTGTTTTCATAAAGTACACCTTTTCCTGGTGATCAACATTGCTTATCGTTACAACGTTTCTTAGTTCATCATGACATCATTGTAATTAGCTAAAAAAAGGCTTTGTACAAATCAGTTGATATAGAGAATCTATTCTCTCTTATCTGTTACACAAAGAACATAGCATATGCAAGTCTGGTGCAGCTAATAAACTGCTCAAATGAGTTATACACACAAGCGCTATAACATTATTTCAGATATTTCTTTCTTTAGACTATCTATGCAAAAGCTGTTTTACAAGCCTATTGTTGTGTCAGATGTTGCTACTTCACAATGTTGAATGCTCAAGTAACTGGATTGTTGAAGAGTTTCACTGATCGAACAATAATATATGTACTTGTGTGCTTTATGTGAGTGATTTTCAATCTAATTGATTACACGTCTTGATTTTTCACAGAAACCTTTTGGTCTCCTTGCATCTGGAGTAGCTTTCATGTTCCTGTCCTGTATGATGATTCTGGGTATTCTGTTCTCTTTACGCCAAGAAAGTTTTGCTGGGGATGGATCATCTTTATCTTGTGCAAAAGCTTGCTTGAACTGGTGGCATCTAGATGAGGCGTTTAATTTGTTTATGATCACAATGCTTGTTGTTAGCATGGGATCTAGTTCAATGATAGAGGAAGAGCAATACATATGGTACTTCTTTACCACCTCGTTTTATTTGGTGGTACTCCGAAAGTTGATGCAGTCTTATACATCACAAACTACACAAAATTTGAATAGTAGGAGCACTATTTCTAATAGCAGATTTGATCAGATTCCTTTGGTTATTGTTCTTGTTTCTGGAAGATTTTTGAGGGGGTGGCATCAAGGTGGTGTTAACTGGATCTATCTTCCCGACATTGCAAAATGGCTTGAACAAGCAGGTGGTGCTTATATAAAGTTGTTGCAGGTGGTGTCAGTTGTCCTGGTAATCAGCATACACTTAATTTCCGTGCTGCGGTTGAAATGGGCAAATAGAAAAGATGTGGCTTTGGCTGTACTGATCCATTCATTCCCTGGATCATTGGTTCTTATGTATATTACAAAGTATCAAGACCTTGCATTTGCGGAATCCAGTTTTTCAGCTAATTTAATGGCCCAGATAATATATGCAACTCTGTTTATTTATGCAGTTGGGGCTGCTATTGTTGCTCCATGGGCCATGATGCATCCCAGAAATAGTTTTTTCTTGTCCAATGATTCTTTGGAGTTTCAAAAACAAATTCCATTGGTGCTTCGAGATTCAAGCTATGTAGTTGGGTCCATGTATATATACTGTTGGTGTCTTCTACAGCTGTTACTACTGCAGCCTGTTAATTCAGTAGCCTTTTTATTGCTTTTGATGCAAATTTTAGGCAGCATTTGGCACTTTTCTCATTCCAACCAACTTGTTCGACAATGGACGGAGGTTAGTCATATTTGTAAATATTCATACAACCTGTTTTTGTAATTTTCCACGTTTCTTCAAAATGCACATTTCCCTTCCCTGTTTATTCACAATTAGACTTTAGTATTGTTTTGTAAATGCTTGAATTTGTTGCGTCCATTGCCAATGGAGTTGAAAGAGTTAATAATGGACTAAATCAAAACGGCACATTAAACTTTCATGGTTTCTTATTAGGCATGTCAACAAATTCCAATCAGTTTTCCATGAATATGGGTTTGATATCTCGTGGTCCGTATTTATTGGCGCAATATGAGCGAATAAAAAACAAGGTGACATTTTTGTAATAGTCACCTTTTGAAATGAGTGGCTCACATTGCATCATCTCACTAGTGTCATTCTCAGTGAGGTGACGTGGGATGACGCAATGTGAACCACTCATGTGAATAGGTCGCAGTATTACAAAAATGCCATCTTGCTTTTGATTGACTCACATTGTGTCATCTAACATCATCTCACCAAATTCCATCCCACCAAAATTGATCCCCCCCCACACACAGTTCAATTGACATTATACTCTAGTGTCATAGGATGTCATCGAGCCATTACGGTGCTTCGTTGGGGGGTCCAAATATGAGGCGAGGTATTGATTCGATGTGAAAATGAAAACTAGAGTGCTTTAAATTTGGCGGTGGGGTATTGGTTTGATGTGACATAAAATAGAAGGGTAGAGATGGAATTTCAATAAATTAATTTAGTTAAGAATGGAAGTGTAAAGAATCAAGTGGGACAAAGGGAGTATATGGAGAGAAAATGGTGCACCACAGAGAAATGTGAATGCATATTGCCCGTAAGATTTAAGATCGTGTGTAATTAAGTAAAAAACAAAAAAGAAAATTTAAAGGCTTTTGGCTTGAGAGCATAATTGAAAAGGCTGTGGCGATTTGGGGTGGGAAACTAACAGGAAAAAAGAAAGAGAATGCATCGCATCTTTTATATCCTCTATATGTCCACTTCTACAAACCAGGAGTACCTAGGGTGTGCAGTCTATTACATTATGTTTGGTTCAAGGAATTTGAGGAAACAAAAGTAAAGAAAATGGGAGGAAAATGGAAAAGAAAGGAAAAGTGAAAGGAAAAGACAATGGGAGAACCGGAGAAATGAACTAAGAAGATGAAAAACAACATTCCTTCCATTTTAGTGAGGAAAAGGAGAGAAAACAAGTTTCTTTTCTTTTCCTTGGATTTCCACGAACCAAACATTGCATTGAAGACTTTATTGATGATTTCATTACAAGAGCTTTAGTATCTCATTATGATAACTGCAGGATTGGAAGTGGTTAAAGTACATACATTTGTTTGATTTTCAGGTTGCTGCACTCTATTATGTGGGGATGGCAGGTCACTTTGGTCTTGGTAACACCAATACCCTTGCCACCATTGATGTTGCCGGTGCTTTTGTGGTAGGTCACATCACTTGAGTTATGTTTCGATGGTGTTTCCCTTGGATCCATAATTTCATCTAATCAGACCTATATTGCATGTTGATTATTTGCAGGGCGTGTTGAATCATTCCACACTGCTTTCTGGTGTCTTAATGTTTGTCATCACATATGCATCCCCAATTTTATCTATGCTTAGTATGGTACTGTACATTGCTATGAAGAAAGACACTGCGGTGATAAAATATTCAGATGAACACGGTTTTGGGCACTTGCTCAAGATGCTAATTGGTTTTCCTTGTCTGGTTCCTTTGGGCTTGAATTCCATTCTGCTGATTGCCTATACAATTGTATTGCTTCTAATGAGGAACCATTTGTTTGTCTGGAGTGTCTTTTCTCCCAAGTAAGCATTCCATGTCTCATCCCACTTATACTATGTTTGGTTCAAGGAATCTAAAAGGAAAAGAAAAGAAAATGGTTCTCTCATTTTCCTCACCAAAATAAGAGGAATCTGGTTTTCCCTCATAGTACATTTTGCCTTCTCATTTTCTTTTCCTTCCACTTCTCTTTTCTAACCAAACAAGAAAAACTATTTTCCACTTTATTTTCTTTTCTTTTCCCTCTCAAATTCTTTGGACCAAACATAGTGTTAATGATTGTCCATGGATTCAAAACCTCACCTGTCAATTTCTCGATCTTAGTAACTCTCCCTCCATCCCAATTTATGTTGCTGACTTTGACTGAGGATAGAGAGTAAGAAAGTTAAAACTGTGTGTTTGAGGTTTATAGAGAGGAAAGAAAAACAATACAAACAATATACACTATGTTTGGTTCACGGATTTTGAAAGGAAATGAAAAGAAAATGCTTCTCTCAAAGAATTTGGTTTTCCCTCCTTTTAGTAATTTTACCTTCTCATTTTCTTTTCCCTCCACTTCTCTTTTCCTCTCTAACCAAACATGAAAAAAAATATTTTTTACTCATTTTTATTTCCCTTTCAACTTCCTTGAATCAAACATAGGGATAAAGTTTTGTACAAATGGAAATGAGCAACATAAATTAGTAAATACTCCCTCCGTCCCCCCTGTATTTGTCCATATTTGACTTTTGGAACTGTTCATCTAAGCACTTTGACTCATCAAATTCTCTCAATGTGTAAGCCTAAGTATAGTCATGTGTGATCTTGTTTGATTTGTCTTAACACATAGATTATTAATATATAATTTTTATAATTTTTTAATATACAAATTACAAGATAAAATGGATTAAATAAGTGCATTGGATGGTGTGTAAAAATGAAAGTGGACAAATACAGGGGGGCGGAGAAAGTATTAAACAGAGGGAAGGAACACGAGAAAAGCTCCACAACTAGATAAGCAAGTTGTCCATTTTAGTTCTTGATTGTTATTGTTTTTCTACTTCTGTAAATAACAAATTATTGTGGTTTTTTGTCTAACCTAAGTTTCTTGGCACAATATATTGTACATCCAAGTGATCCAACACACATCTATTTCTGTAAACGTGTGTAGGTTTTTGTTTTAAAAAATTCTGCTCATTTTCCTTCCATCCAATGCTCATTTGAATAAAATGGTTGCTCATATTCATTTTAAAGAATGCTCATTTGCATATGTAGGATGTGTGATAATTATGGTACATCTGTTTGCTTGTTTTACACATACCCACTCAATTTTCTTGTACTATCTCTGTTTGCTTTACCTTAATAAGAAGTCCATCACTGATATCCTTCCCCATTCCAGGTACTTATATGTGTGTGCTACCACGGCTTGCGTGTATATTGGTGTAACCATTGTGGCATTGACTGTGTCGTACGTATCATTGGTCTGTGCATTTTGTTGCACAAAAACGCAAGGATCTTGTAAGACCAGAGAATTGAAGAAGGATTGAAATTGAGACCAACTTCCTTGCACTTTGGTTGGTTTGAGCTCTCTCTCAAACTCTAACACTATGTTTCGTTCAAGAAATTTGTAAGGGAAAAGAAGACCAAATGAGAGGGAAAATAACTTTCTTGTTTGGTTAGAGAGGAAACGAAAAGAAAAGTGGAAAAAAAAGAAGATAGATTAAAAAGAAGGGAAACAATTTTCCTTTCATGTTCTTGAGGAAAAGGAAAACATTCATTTCATATAAATTGATTTATAATCTTAGGTTGATTGATTTATTATTTTGACCAAATATGGTTAATTAGTTTCTAATAATAATAATCAAAGATATATGATGATGGATGATAAGGTCGAAGACAAATATTGATGATTATAGCAGCAACATATATATATATATATGGCTCCTAAACTAAGGCTGCAGCTGTTGGGCTTGATGATTCTTCATGTGGGCTAAGAATCCTTGGGCTTCTTGAACGCTTATGCAGCAATGTTTGCAATGGCCCGCAAATGGGGCACAGCAGCCCAGTTTGCAGCTCTTCTGGACGCCGCCGGTCCAGCCCACTGTTCCATGGCTCCCTTTGTATTGCCAACTAACCCCTTTACTGATGGTCGCGTGGTTGCCGTCACCACTCACTCCCCATGTGAACCCGTGGCTCACTGCTGGCTTGCTATCGCCTATGCCTGCCGCTGCTGCCGCATCTGCTCCCGCTGCACACACAAAAAGATGTGAACACTCAGTTTCGAAAATAAAAAACCTTTTATGAGCTCTAACTACAAACTTGAGCTTTTTGGTTGGGTTGGTTCCTTGACATGATATTGGTATCTTGTTGACTAAGAAGTCACGTGCTCAAAACTTAACGCCACTGAGAGTTAAAAAATAAGGTTCCACGTGCAAGGCTAGAGAAAAGAACTACACCTACACGTGAAGGGCGTGTTAAAATATAAAAAGTATTTTCTGGGTCACAACCACAAGCTAGAGCTTTTAGTTGAGTTGGTTACTTGACACTCGTGACACCCAACAAAAAAAGTGAGAATATAAATAAGAAAAATATTGGGACAATAAAAAAGAAAATTGGAAAAGGAAAAGGTTATGAAATTTCACTTTTTGGAGTTTGAGCCCTAATAAGAGTTGGACAAGCACACAGAAGAGCCATACAAAAGAGAGCTTGGAGAAGCAAAGCCATGTTGGGCTTCATCATCATATGTCCACTTGAAGTGAGATTCAAAGGTACAAAGATGATGATAAATGTTAAGTATATATGTTAGTGCTTTATTAGACTCAATTTATAGTTGAAGAGGTGAAGAAGTTTAAAAAAATTAGCTTAGACTCAAAAATTAATACCCAATAAATGTAATCCGAAAGGTTTATACAAATGTCAAGTAAGAGAGTGCAAATATTGGTTGCAGATGGCAGCACTTAAATGTTGATGATGTAGTTGTTACGTAAAATTTGTAACGACGGTGGTTAGACGATGGGTAATTAAGGTGTGCATCTACACAAGGGCCTCGAAGATTTTTAAGGCCCTGCATTGTTAAGATATATACCCTCCGTCCTAATTAAAAATTTTAATTTGATTTTATCCAATTTAATAAAATTCTTGAAAAGTGAAAGGAGAAATGTTTTTAACTACCTATTCGTTTATGAAGAAATGAAGTAAAAATTAATTTTAGGACAGATCAAACAAGAAAATGATAATTTTTTTGAAAGTGATGTGTAAATCATTAGATCCAGCTGACTATTCTTGATCAGATTTGGAATAGTGAGTTATATATGTGTGTCAACTTATATTACTCCCTTCGTCCAGTATTTGTCCACTTTTCACTTTTTCGATCAAATTAGTAAATTTTGACTTTAAATTAATAAACATGATACTCCGTATTAGATATTGATACAAAACCAGTTTTATTAGATTTATTATATCAAATATTTTTCAAATATTATTTATCTAATTATTATACAAAATATATTTTACCATTTCACCATTTTTTGGCTTTGGGGTGTGATGGAATAAATCAAAATGGATCTCTAAACTATCCGTGCTTCTTTAATTAATGAAGTAGCAGTTAGTCAAGCAATGCAATTTTCGACGTTGAGCCGGGGGTCTCTTTGGAAACAGCCTCTCTACTTTCAAGTAGGGGCAAGGTCTGCGTACACACACCCTCCCCAGACCCTACTCTTGTGGGATTTAACTGGGTTGTTGTTGTTGTTGTTGTATATTTTATTTAATTATAGGTCAAAGATTGAAAATGGTTAACTGAAAAAAGTCAAAACTGGACAAATACTCAGGAAGGAAGATAATATTAATTAGCCATCATTAATTATTACCAGTCCTGCATGAATCTTTATAGCTCATTCTAGTTGAGGAAATGGGAAGTAGTATATATGATGTATCTCCAATTTCAGTAATGAAATTTAGGTAAACTAACAAATGAAATTTTTAAAATATTTCTAAATTTTGATAAATGTTGCCACTTTGGTCACATAAAAATTCCTTGTGTTTGGCTTATACTGAATTTAAAAGTAAGTATTTTAAAATGAAAATGTGTGGTTGAGATCTCTTAAAAAAGAAAAGAATGTTTAAGCTGCATATTTTTTTAAAAAAAATAATTTTAGAGGGGTTGGGGTCGGGGGTTTAGGGCGAGTTAGAGAGGGTAGGAACCATCAATTTTGTGAACGGAATACCGGAGGTGCTCCAAAAAAACCAGTGGCCAAAAAACCCCACCGATTTTTTTTTTGTTTGCTATAGGGAGTAAATAGTTAAACCTTTTTAAATTTAAAATGTTGTATGTTTTCTAATATGATTTTTTTTACGGTGAAATAAGAAATTACGGTGAAATACAAGCTAAGCAAAAAAAAAAAAAGAACCAAAGTTGTGTCTTCTCTTTCAACCATTATTATGGCAAAAAAACGTAACGCATTGGATGTAGCCTGTAGGTGAACTGGTGTCCCATTTCACTTCTTTATGGATTGGCATGGCATTCACATTGCGTGTCCTTAACTTATTTTGTTGCTTATTACCTTTTTATTATTAAAATCAGATTTAATCATATCAGATCCTATTAAATCAGACCAGATCTTATTCAGATCGACTATATCAATTCAATAATATCAAATCAGGAAAAAAATATAAAAAATAATACTAATACTTTTTTAATGATTAAATAATGATTACTATTCGATTTAATCACATTACGATATTTGAAGCTACACGCAAGACCTGGCAAACCAGAATCCGAACCGATTACCCAAACCGAAATATCCGAAACCGAAACCAAAATGATCCAAAAAATGAAGATCTGATCTGATGGACAATAAATCCACCAATTGATCTGACTTAGAATGGCGGATCAAAAGAAATAGTAATGAATAAGAACTTGAGAATTATAGGATTTATTTGCTTGATTCAGCTTGAGGATCCCCATTCGGGTTCTCTCTATTTATACATGATTTCTAAGTAATTATGGTAGTTCACAATTCAAGGAGACTCATCCGTCAATGGCGCGATACCCTTTCTTCGGCTATATATCCGTCTACAGCTGAATCTCCTCCCCTGAATCGGGCTCTTCCAGCTGTCTCTCCCTTGGGTTAGTCCAGGCCCAACTTCTTGGGCTGGCCCAGAATCGATGCATATCAGCTCTAGTGACCCAGTGCCATTCGGAAACGGTATTTGGGCCGCTCGTTGGGTATCGGCCCATCACAAGCCCCCCAACTCATCATTCCTCAGACGAGCCACGTTGAGGGATGGGGAGTTTACGAGGTCCATGTGGGCGCCCCCTCAATGGATGAGAGCCGTTCCTTGGTTTTCGCGTGACGGTTGGCATGATCTCTATCAAATACAATCATGTTGGTTTTCGCGTGACGGTTGGTTTTCGCCTTCCACTCCACCTTAATAAAAACAGCCGTTGGACGCCATTCTCGTCTTCACCTGCAACAACTTATTCCTCCGCTGCAACCCAACCCGTTTTCTTTGATTTCCAGGTCAGTTCTCCCTCTATTATCATGGTTATTACGGGTTCAGACTCAGCCTCCCCACTTTCCAACCCTCACCAGGCCGATCAATCGGCTCCCTCTGGCCAAGATCAAGGCCAATCTAGCTCTCCTCAGCCGTCATCGGCGGTGGCGCCTGGCCAGATCTGCGCCGGTTGAAGAAACAATTTCCCTCCTCGACCCCTGCATTAAAGGGCCCTAGGGTTGAATTGGAGGAGAATATCATGGCCCTATGCCATTGCCAAGTTACTGACCAAGGGTTTGCCGACGCTACTGATATGGTTTGTCCCTCCATTGAAGTCTGGCGGCCTAGCAGGACCAAACCACCCTGGATGCCCCTCTAGGGTTCTTTACTGTTCACTTGGCTTCTTTGAAGAAGGGACTACGGTTCCCTCTGCACTCTCTGTTGGTGGAGTTTCTCAGCGAAGTGGACCTCCTCCCTTGTCAACTAGTCCTAAACTCACACCAGTACATCGTCGGTTACCTTATTAAGTGCAAAAAAGCCAGGGTGGACCATTTCTTATTTACCTTCAAGCTGGTCAAAGGCCATGGGGATTGGGCTTCGTATGCCAGCCTCTCCCAGCGATCGAGCAAGCTTTTTGTCAGCGACAAGAAGGGGTCAACCAATTCATACTTCATTATTTATTACTGAGTACTACCCAATGGTATGGACGATTGGGCCTTCATTTTGGCCTTTGTTTGGAAGCTTAGGTTTAAGAGTCTCTGGTATGGTCTATGGCATATCTAAAAAGGAACACGTAAATTAGTTTTTGTAATGTCAATGTTTAGGTCAGAAAATATGTTCTTATGATACCATATACTCCCCTCTCAAAACTCTTCCGCCTTTATTTTTTTACGCACCCTATAAAACACGTCTATTCCACGGTGGAATTTCCACCTAAAATGTGGTATTACAATCTATTACGTGATTTATTGCAGGTCAAAGTTGTTTTGAAAATATTTTAGACATTTTAGGTGGGGTAGAAGTTTTTTATGAGATGCGTAAAAAATTATGACGGATAAGTTTTGTAAAACGGAGTAAGTATATAAATATATATATATATATATATATATATATATATATATATATATATATATATATATATATATATATATAGCCAACTTGTTCAAGTGAAATAATTTGAAGCAAAAACTGATCAGGCGAATATATTGGTGAAACAAAAATAATTGCGCGACAAAACATTCAAATGTTTGTAGCTATTTACATGAAAATGGTTGCTTCTGCAATTTTGCGTGAACCGTCGCATCGATTCAGAATCACTCGAATGTTACACGCCTTTTCACAACGAGCACTGGAACCGTCGCTATAGGGAGTAAATAATTAAACCTTATTGAATTTAAAATGTTGTATGTTTTCTAATATGATTCTTTTTACGGTGAAATAAGAAATTACGGTGAAATACAAGCTAAGCAAAAAAAGAACCAAAGTTGTGTCTTTTCTTTCAACCATTATTATGGCAAAAAACGTAACGCATTGGATGTAGGCGAACTGTTGTCCCATTTCACTTCTTTATGGATTGGCATGGCATTCACATTAAGTGTTCGAAATTCATGTTTTCAATCAGATTTAATCAGATCGGATTCAGTTAAATCAAATCAGATCCAATCAAATCAGATCTAATTCAGATAAGACTAGATCAAATTCAATAATATCAAATCAGGGAAACATTCATATGTTTGAACAAAACATTCAAATGTTTGTAGCTATTTACATGCAAATTGTTGCTTCTGCAGTTCAGCGTGAACTGTCGCGTCTATTCAGAAAAACTCGAATGTTACACACCTTTTCACAAGGGGCACTGGCACTCACACTAAAATAAGGGTATTTCACAAGTGGTGGCATATATCCCTCAGGCTGTTCACCAGGTTGCCTTTTATGTTTTTAGCAATCAACTCTTGTTCTAGTCCAATCTGAGGGGAATATGCCAAAACAGAAGAGACCACAATGCATATATCGATGTAGTAGTGGAATCTTAGAAACGAAAAACTAGGGCCATGGACTCATGGCATTGACTCATTGTGTTGCCCAGAGTGTTGTCCTAAAGGAGAAGCTGGTAATATTACTTCAACGCTTGAAAAACGCAATATCCCGACTGCAATTAGTTTTGATAGCCTCCTCTAAACTTCGCATGCGGTCAAAATCAACTTTGAAAGTGACCATGGCTGCACCAGCTTTCCCTGTATCATAATCTTGTTTAATGTCCTCAACTTTAAAAGTTTGTAGCTGAAAGTCACCATGGAGAAAGGGTAGATTAATGGCATGAGCACTACAAAAGTAAACAAGTTCACACACAATAGTCCATTATAGATACAAGTGACAAAGATTTATAAATCACTGTTAAAATGCTCAGCCTAAACTCAGGTATATGAATCATATAACACAATAGCAACAATGAAGTTTATCGACCATTCATCTTATAGATTTTTCTATGCATATCTGAAATTCATGTGCACATGTAAAGTTGCTACACCTATATATAATCTTTTTGAAAAAGACCTCATTACTTTGTAAAAGAATGTGCTAACAAATCCATAGGGCATATATCTCAAGTGGAAAATGATGGGGCCTAATTTTCTTCCTTTGAGNCCCCCCCCCCGGTTGAAAACAAAAGGTACATTATTTACAACCCAACCATGACATCAAGTCAGGACATAGGGGCAAATAGGGTGGGGTATACAATCGTCGAGAATGAGATGACATATAGCAGAATGGATTAGCACTTTCAATCGCTTCTGGAACTTACCTGATGGTACAGAGCCCCTATAAGATCAAAAGGAACCTCTATGCCCATAGGAACCTGCAAAATGTAGATTATTTCCATCAACAATAGTACTGAGGTGAATGAGATTTAAATAGTTCTTTGTGAAACATATTACACATTCACAATTTACCTGGTTCCTAATAAACATGTGATACATGCCCTCCGATTAGGACCTATCACATTACACATGGCACCACTGCCCCATCAGCTTCAGCAACCCAACCCGTGAATTCAGGCATCTTACACTAACAGCAATCAGATTTAACTAGAAGTGTTGTCAATTTTTAATTCATCTGTTAATAAGCATTATTCTCTGATTGATCCCCATCTTCGTAGATTGTAGGCTACTTGTGAGCTTGTCAGGTGTTTTCGCATGGCTTTTTTACTCTTCTTCTTGGAGTTCTCTATTTTTTTTATCTTTCTTTTTCAAACATTCTTTTTCTACATAGCAAACGCGCAGCAACTCAGCGGTTCTTTTTTTTATTTTTCCTTCTTCGTTTTTTGTCTATGACTTTCATTGTTCTTCGGACATTTGGTTTTAAAATTTGTCAATGGCTTATGGTACTATGTGTGACTTTGAGTCTTGATTGCTTTCTAAAATGTTCTCTTATCTTTTAAAATTGTATGTGCGTTACTACTAATTTAGAGATGCTATGCTACTTGTTCTTCATTTGAGCCTGCCTTGCATTCGTAATAAGTGGGCATCAATTGTGCATCGCACCTTACACAATTTTGACACTTTCAGTGGGTGTGACCTGCTGAGCCACCAAAAACTTTTAAACCCAACCAGACTAGCACTCACTTCCAGTTGCGCACTCTAAGCCGTTGACTTTGGATTATTGTTCTCTGCCAACTTGGCTGCTGCCTTTTCCACCTCGATCACCTGCTCATAAACAATATTGAAATCCAGTCAGGGAACAGTCGCCATGCATGTGCACAGGTCCGATCTGAGTCCCTCAATGAATAGCTTGCAGCAATGCTCCAAAGAATTTACCAAGTCACTTGTGTACTCCGCCAAAGAACTTGCTCTGATACCACTTGTATGCAGACATGCAGTATCTCGATGTTCCTTATTTGAAGGCAAGAGAGTTTCTACCCCGCAAACTATTCTATGTAATCTCTTATCTGCTATACAGGCACTAATCACAGTTAGATTTTAATTAGCAAAATCTTCAATTTTTAATTCATCAACTATTAATCTATTATTAAGCATTGTGCCATTTCATGGTTCCTAGCTTGTGGGAAGTATCTTTGCGTTCTTAATTTGTAGCATGTGAGCTTCTATTCTTCAACTATCCAATGTAATCTCTTATCCTATTCCTATATACAGGCGAATATCAACAAAGAAAATCACATCTGCGAGAAATGATTGTCCACTCCATAGAGAGTACTTTCTTCTATATTGTGTTAATCATAAAGTTATCCAAAGAAGGGTGCAACGAGTAAAATAACCAAGTAATCAATACCTTAGATTTCACAAGCCGTGTAGGAGCATTTCTCAAGCATTCCATGGCAATCCCCCCATAAGCTCTTACTAATCCCCCAGTTCCCAGTTTAATTCCTCCAAAATATCTGCAATTGAAGAGGGTGAAATAGTGCTTGCCACTGGGAATAAACATTGTGTCCATCATCCAAGTGAAGTTCCCAATTCTAAACCACAGTGAGAGTATGACATTCATGTTAGGCCACAAAGCAATGTTTTACCTGGTTACAACAACAATGACTCTGTCCAATCCTGAAGAAAGAATTGCAGAATATATTGGTTTGCCAGCTGTACTAGATGGTTCACCATCATCATTACATCGGTATTGATCTCCAACCTATATGGCAAACTTCATATATTCAAGAATATGGATCCATTTTTTCCATCTTAAGGCTAACTATTGAGTACTTAACAGTTACGAAATCGGTAATACATTGTGCAAAAAACCCAAATTGTACTAGGTATTCATTTTCAAATGCTTTATAGTTCAGTCACAATAGACATTTAATTGCTGTTGATACCACAACTGAATAACCAGAACCCACCTCGGGGGGGTGAAGCAAGTTGCTTGAATATGTGCACAAATGTCCAGTAAAATATTATGAACGAAGATCGAAAAAGCATGGATACCAATCATACAAACCAACAGTAAAAAATATAGAAACTAAATTTTCTTTGCACGCCATTCAAAATTTCTTGAGGTCCCAAAAACATGGCCATTGCACATTTACTTGTTGAAGATTATACTTTTCCTGCAATCACTTTATGTTCTCGAACAAGATGTTGGCTTTATATTATTTGTTAACATAAAAAAATACTCGGAAAATTAATTAGCATAAATATTCTAACAGTTATATGACCACTGATAGAGTCTTGGCTACACCCAAGTAAAAAATAAAAATAAAAATAAAAGCATTCAATGCAGCACAAGACTGAAAATAGGGGTAAAAGAGCATTACCTTGTAAGCCCAACAATTATGTGTTGCACGAGGATCGCTTACCTACGCATAAGCCACAAAAATTACACTAACAAAATGTTTGGTTTAAGGAACTTGAAAGGGAAAAGAAAAGAAAATGTGAAGACAAAATGTTTAAGGAACTTGCACGAGGGTCCGTTTGGTACACGGAATTGATGGAATTGGAATTGAAATTCCATGGGATTCAATTCCATAGAATTGAATTCATCAATTTCAATTCATTTTTTGCAGTGCCAATTCCAAATTCACATAATTTTTTTGCTACCAAACAACAGAATTGGAATTGAAGTCCTCAATTCCAATTCTATAGTTTGAATTCAGTGTATCAAACGTGGCCTAAGGAAAAGGAAAACCAAATTCCTCCCGGTTTGGCAAAGAAAATGAGAAAAAGCTTTTCTCTTTTTTTTTTCTTCAAATTCTTTGAAGCAAACATAGTGTAAATATAGTTCTCAATTTGTGAGGACAAATTATGTTTACAGAATAATGAATAGAGAGCTGCGATTAAAGAAATGACCTCCGAAAGGAAGGATTCGGCCTGGAGTTGGTCGGAGACATGGCCGGCGATGGCGATGAACTTGCTCTTCTTGATCTCCTTTTCGCAAGTGTGTCTGCCTTCGATTGTGCTGAAAGCCCCTTGGGTGTTGGGATCGGAGCTGCTGCTGCTGCTGCTGCTAGCGGTGACCATTGATCTCTTGGCGATTGGGAAGAACACTATGGGTGTCGGGAAAATGGGGCGGCGGAAGCGGTGGCGGGTCAGCCCCGGAAGGATTAAGGAGATAATCGATGCCGCTCTACTGTCCGCCACATGCATTATTCTGTCATTGGTTTGTTCTTTCTTCTCTTTCTTTTTCTTTTTCCCAACAAAAAGAAAAGATAAGCCAACGACAGTCACCCCATAGAAGATAATTAAACTATAGTCAAAGATTTCTTGATCATCTTTTGAAATCGTATAATTTTCAAAAGTTAGAGACTCCCCCTCAAAATTATATTAGCAAGTTTTCTCGCAAAAAGTTCTCTACGCCTATCCTTAAAAAGAATATTTTTTTTCTTAAGTACTTCTATCGAATGAGTATAACGATTCGTTTCAAATGAATTTCCTTATGTCCAACCAACAGTCGCAAAGACCGGGTGATAAATGGTGGAGTCTGCATAACTCTGATTTTCTGGCGTAGTGACAAGGAAACCACCCCAAGCTATAATCTCATTTTTCAGTATTTAGTAATTTGGTTGTAGTTACTTTAACTAAACTCTGGTTATTTGATATAGTGACAAGAAAACAACCTCAAATATCTCCGCATCGAGTGTTGGAGCCTCATATACTACACCCATGGGTGTAGGACCTCCTAAAAAATTCAGGTACGAAAAAACTTTGTTTCAAAATATTTGAACGATTTTGATATTTTGCGGTCAAGCAAAATCATACTCCCTCCGTCTCATTTTGATAATGTCTGTTTCAGTTTACGATGGTTGACTGAAACTATTTTCAAATCATTATATATTACAAATGGTATATAGTTAAAAAATAAAAATGACATATTAAAATACTACATCAAAAGATCTACAAAACTAGTAGTGACAATAGTACTTTATTTTATCAAATTGCTAACGAAAATTGAGAAAGAAAGTGAATGTGAATAGTGAACATGCATTATAATATGGGACGGAAGGAGTATAAAACAATAGCTTGATAATACTCCATATTTTAATAAATGAATGTAATAAAATTATTTTTATATTAGTATCTAGAATCAATTTTATTTAATTTATGATCATTTCTGACATCATATTCAAAGAAAATTCAATTCATGAAAGATATGCATTCTAAAACCACAAATGAACTCCACACAAAAAATGCACTCTTTTTTACATTCAAAGAAATCTTCTATGATCTCAATGACAAGAATGTACAAGATCATGGACACATTTTTTGTATGATAGAACTTTCCATTAAAAAAATTAACTGTTCATTAGACCCTTGAATATACAACTTAATGATTTGAGCTCTAAACTTTCTCTCTTCCTCATTACTTTACCTGAATACCTCCGCTGAATCACTTTCTTCGCTCTGCACTTTTAAACGAAGTAAAAAAAACACCCTACAACATAGGATACTCTAGCAAAAAAAATGCATGAACATATTCCAAGCATTCAAGTATACATTATTTACACCATATACTAGTAGAACGAATTTTTTTAAAAAAAAATTATTCAACGTTTTTAGTAGAAGAAGTCGTTGTCTTTGTCATTCGCTGCATCCTTACGAAGCATTGATCGAACTTCGAGAATGGATCTTGGTGGCTCCATGTCTTTCTCTTGAAGTGCATTTCCCAACAACTTCTGCATGTGTGAGGCAAATATTTCTTCCAAAATCTGCGTTTAAAAACAAGAAATACGAACATTTTTTTAGTAATGGGGGCACTTTTTGCTTGAAATGTTATGAAGATCACATATTTTTGCGCATCTCAACACTCGCCATGTAAGAAAAATGGCATGGTCATGTTCTCTTCAACTTATTTTTTCTACTTAATACTTATTCTTATCAGAATCAGATCAAGTCAAACTAGATCAGCAGCAATTTTAAATTACACTACAATCAGATCAAGTCCAATCATATCAGGTAAAATTAGATCGGTCTTTATAAAAATTTAGATCAGGTTCAATAAGTTCAGATGAAGAGAACGCAGCCTTACAGTTACAGCAACACGCGAGGCATTGTACCAAGACCTGCTATCTTTTCTATCTTCCAAAAACTTTAGCACGTCCTGAAACAAGGGAGATTTATTTATCAATAAATTCGCAAAGACGAGAAAAAAAGTATTCACACAACTGTGATTGTCAAGTATAAGCATTTAATATATGTACCTGTCCCATTCGATCCCAAAAGCCTCGACAAATAATTATGAAAACTTGTGTTTCAAATACTGCATGAAGTTGGTCGATCATATTTTCTAGCATTTCCTTCAAAGGCTGCATCCTACTGCGCAAGTCTGATTCGACTATGCCCTCCTTTGCATCTTGGATTATCTTCTTCAACTTTGTGCTATTCTGCAACTTTGTCTGTGCATAGAAGAGGAAGTTAAAAAAAAAAACTCATAACACTTGTGCTATGCATCAAAAGAAAACACAAAAAATAAGCATAAGAAAAGAAAACATGTTGACAAAATGTGACCAATCTATAAAATGATGACACCATATCCTCAATTCAGTTCATCCACACTATGTTTGGTTCGGGGAATTTGGAAGGAAAAGAAAAGAAAATGATTTTTTCTCATTTTCCTCAACAAAATGGGAGGAATTGGGTTTTCCATCCTCTTAGTACATTTTGCCTTCTCTAACCAAATATGAAAAATCATTTTCCCTCTCATTTTCTTTTCTTTTCCCTCTCAAATTCCTTGAACCAAACAGTGTAAAATACTAACATTCATAACTTATGAGGGGCAAAGCATTTTTACGGCTATAACTGAAGGTAGAAATAAAAAGTTGATAGAGTCAACATTAACAGTATAATCAGGATTACATGAAATTCAGCATAAATTAACACCTACATTTTCAACAAGCCTATCCATCAACGCTTGCATATAGCCTCTGAATTTTGTCCGAAGCATTATTGTTATTTCACTGATATGCTCTCCTGCAAGCGCATTGCCACCGCTGGGTAGGCAAGCACCCCATGACTTGAACTGAGCTTCTATTTGGGGTCGTACAATATCAAGCATCCTTTTCATGGAATTCAGAAGAATTCCCAACTTAAGAAGAGAAAAAAAAAATATTCATAACGTTGTTGCTTGGATATCAGAGATAATGAAATGGAACATGAGAAAGGGTAAACCCCAATTAAAAAAGTTATGCAAAAGTCGTTAAAGCTCACCTCATTGGGAACTGCATATGGACAAACATTCCCCTTGGTCATTTTCTGGACGTATTTCAGACCTAATTTAAATGGCATCCCTATTTCTTTGAGTGGAGACAGAACCTCCGCATACTGTTTGTCCAAAGTTTCTATAACTGCCCTCTCAACATCAGCTATAGCCTGTAGAGGGAAGAAGATGAGAGTCGGCAAATTAATATAACCGTTAGGTAAATGTACACTTTAGCAAAATGTAATTCAACTTAAATGAACAAAAAGAAATCTCGCAGAACAGGTCTAAAAGTACTGGTAATGATAATCAGTCATAATATGTCATAATATAGTGGTTAAAGCACCCCGCCCCCCAAAAGTTGGTTTCTTTCTACTTCCAGCATAACACATAGGCTCAATGAGAATTGTGGGGAAAAAATGAAATAAAAGTTTAAGGTGGACATACACTTTCTAAGGGAAAAACATATTCGGGCCAGCGACTGATGATGATCTCATATTCACTCAAGGTTTCCTTCAAGCGGTCATAGATGTCATCGATAAAAGGAGTTGTGGAAGGCTGTGTGTCCATGATAGACCACTTCATCTGCAAATAAGTCGGCAGCATTATGAAGGGAAATATTGCAAACAATCATGTACTATGTAGTTTTCATTCATGACTGTAAAATTAAGTAGTTCAGCATTATGAAAGTCCAATCATGTCCTTTGGTGAGATCAGTGGTCCTTGCCGAGTTCCCAGAACAAATACATGGTTCAGATAATGTTACTGAAAATGACAGTTTACCTCATCCTGGTGGTAAAAATTATACTCCCTCAATCCCAAAAAAAGGTTCTACATTACTATTTATGCCATCAAATTTATATATTTTTTCCTTATATATTTTCATTGATCATTTGATAAAATAAAATAGTCATGTCACCTCTTGTTTTGTACAACTTTTGATGCAGTTTTAAAATTTCTAAATTTTATTTTTGATAGATTGAATTGAAACTGGGACAGAGGGAGCAATAAAAGTGCTAGCTACTACATGTTAACTTTTTGATTTGTACAAATTAGAGTAGCAAAGTCTTCTCATATATTTAAAAGATAGCCCAAGGTTAGCACACACTACATACACTCAAAAAATGTCCCACAAACATGAATGATTTAGTGAGAACCAAACAAGAAATTCTATGAAAGAGTGTAAAACCAAGTTGAAAGCAATGTGCATTAAGACATAGTCAAGGAGCAGTTATAGTCACCATTGAAGGAAAATTGGAATACCTTATCAAGCTTGCACAAATCAAGCAAAGAAATCCGTTTGTCATAGATCCAGCGCTTTATGTATAAGTCGAACAACTCCTTTGCATCAACTCCACCTTTGACATGACTGCAAAAGACAGTTTTCAATTAAGTAAAAATATATGCCACATGACAACACTGTAAAGGTAATGGAAAGGGAGAGAACCCTGAAGAAAAACAAAGGCCACCTTATATTCCAGGAAATAAGATCCCTCTGAAAATCAGCCGTTGCATTAATGAGATCTGCCATGGGAGATGATGGGCCAGTGGGAGGACATGAAACTAGGAATGCGCGCAATCTGTTGCATAGCTCTGTGCTATATATGGCTGAAGAAAGATTTGGAAGGTCCAAGAAACTACAGAAGTACAAAGAAGCACCATTAATTACTAGTGGAAAGAAACCAAAAAGAAGACATTTGGGAAATCAATTCTGTTAATGCAGGTATGGAGCATAAGTAACCGCAGTTGGAAATGGAAATGAGACTTCCCAGTTCAATTTTAAATCAGAATGATCACCAAATAAACATATGTGATGCTACCCAACTATGAGTTGATAAAGATAAGAAAGAATACCTTGGCAGTACATCTTGTTGGTGGATCTCCAAGTCAGTAAGAATTTCATTTCTGATATTCAAACAAAGTGAGACCATTT